TCTGCCTTGCTGTGGAAGAGGGGGGCTAGGCGCCGGCTGCTGCTGAACCACCAGACTGCTCCACTCAGGTCGGAGCAAGGGAGACTTGTTACTTTTTGCAGCTTGGCTGCTGATCAATTAGTACCTGGATTTTTTTTTATATATATATACAGCATCTTAGTAACAAAAGAGCACTTAAAATCAGAACAAAAGGAAGGGGCTAGATGATGTTTAAATGCCGAGTCCCACCAGTTTACTGAAAATTGTACCACAATGCTGGCTCCGCAGATCAGTAACCAAAAATACAAAAATGGTTCTCAAATCCCACTGCCCCCTACGCTGGCCAGACAAGCCGTTGGCTGCCACAGTGGCTAATACTGGACAGATTCGAGTGTTTTCTCCTCTTTCTAACCATACGCAGCCTTTGGAAAAGACATTACAGGGCTGAGAGTGATCGTAAAGAGGAAACCAGGAAGCACCTTGGCGGCAGAGAATCAACGTGAGGGACACAAGAAACCCACAAGCTTTCCTGTTGCAAGAGCAAAGGCCCGGGCGGACCTAGCTGTCTGGCAACACAGACCCTCTTCTTCTGTCCTCCCAAGAGGAAGAGAAAAACATAACAGGAGAAATTAAGAAAAGGTAACTGAACTGCTAGCCCTCAAGATAGCAACACATCATGCCTGATTCCTTTCTTCAAGATTCTTGGAATCACGACAGTGAAGGAAAATAGGCAGAAGCCACAGAAGCTGCCACACGGCCTCTTGAGGCAGGGAGGTTCCCAAGAATGTGCCAACTCGTGTCCTCCTTCCAGGGTAGCACCTTTCTCCCGCAGCACGGCACCCCACTTACAACGTCTTCAGTGTCGGCCACTGAATTTTCCCAGAGCCATCAAACAACACCCAAATCCCCTTGGTGGGGGACCCAGGAGGTACCACAGGGCACTCAGATCGCAAACACACGTGAACTCTCTGGAGAGCTGTGTGTCACTCTCCACATACACGCTCCCGCTAAGCTGTAAATCAGGAGAGACTGCTTTCCTCCTCCGGGATCTTCAGGAAACTTTCAGCCGTGCTGTAAGTTCTAAATGTGTAACAACCATGAACTCACACTCCTTTTCGATGGGAGACCAAGGCACAATCCACATTTTTTCGATGCATGAGTCACAGCTATCTTCCTGGTCAGATGACTGTTACTTTTGAGAAATCATGGCAGGATGGAAATTCTTAGCATCAAGGTTCTTATTTTGTTTTCTGTTTTTAGATCAATACCACTAGCAATAACAGCAAAATCTTACTATTTCCTCCCCAAAAGTCGTTGGAAAAGCAAGTAAATCACACTTAAGTCAGTTTCCATTGTTTTGGGGCTGCAGTGTCTAATGGGTTACTAAGCAGGCGGGCATTCACCTACGGGCGAATCTCAGGGAAGGAAAAACCTAAATTCTGAAGTGAGAAAAGTGGTGACTTGGCTTCTAGTCAAATTTTTAATAGTGAAAGAGGTTGAAATTTGCATAAGATATTAAGATCATCGAGCAGGCTGGAAAGATCCTGACTTCGAAGATTCTGACTCTGGTGACATTAAAGTGAGCAGCACAGGAAGAGACTAGTGCAGACCTCCCTGCCCCTCTTTCTGCCAACAGAGGCTTTAAGCGATGCACCTTGTCACCCAATCAGCAGAGACTGAACCGGGGCTAGAACCCACCCTACCTAGTGCCACACTCTTGGTACGAAATGGGCAAAGACACAAAGTAGACGGGAAACACCAACCCCACTGTGTCAGGAACAGCTACCACGTGTCACTTATTGGATCCCAGGAAGTCTTCTGCGTGCTGAGGGTGCATTAACTCATTTACCCCCGACAATCGTGTGAGAGACCAGTGTGTTGCTATCTCCCACTTTACAGAAGAGCCAACAGCCACATGGCGAGTTCAGAAACTCGCTCCCGGTCCCAGGCTGAGTAAGTGGGAGACCTGGAAAAACTGCCCCCCCCCCCCCCGCACAGAAATGCTTGTGCAGGCGTTGCTAAATCCACAGGTGATCCACAGTTCTTCTTTTTTTTTTTTAATCCTCATCCGAGGACATTTTTCCATTTTTTGTACAGACAGAGTGGGAGGGAGAGAGAGGAAGAGAGAGAGAGGGAAACATCGACGTGAGAGGGACACATCGAGTGGCCGCCACCCGCACGACCAACCAGGGCCAGAGACAAACTGCAACCGAGGCACATGCCCCTAGCGGGAACCGAACCCGGGTCTCTCCGGACCGCAGGCGGACGGACGCTCTAACCGCTGAGCCAAACCGGCCAGGGCGATCCACAGTTCTTGAACAAAACATCTTCACAGTAAGATCCAAATTACTGATGCCTCCAAAATATAGGATGAGACTGAAATTTCCTTTTCATCAACCTCTGCATTTGTGCTCTGCACAAAGAGCAGCAATTCCCACAAGTGAGGCCAATTCCACGGAAAGATCTCCCCAGGTGTAAGAGATGCTGGGCAGGAAGTACTTCCAACTTTTGGGAAACCCCAACAAATTATGTACAAAAACGAGCTCAGGATAACATTTTAGGGGGCTAACGGCACCTATTTTTTTTTTTTTTTATCCTCACCTGAGGACATTTTTCTATTTTTTGGTCAGATAGAGTGGGAAGGAGAGAGAGGAGGAGAAAGAGAGAGAGAAACATCGACGTGAAAGGGACACATCGAGTGGCTGCCACCCGCACAACCCGACAAGGGCTGGGGACAAACCACAACCGAGGTACGTGCCCTTAGCGGTAACCGAACCCAGGTCTGTCCGAACCGCAGGCCGACGCTCTAACCGCTGAGCCAAACCGGCCAGGGCAGCACCTATTTTCTTGACTTTACCACCTTTTCCAATATTAAAATAAAATTCTGAATGGTATTAATTCAGTTCAGACTTTGTCTGAAGTTTGTACCACCACCAAAAACGAATTATCCCTCACCTCATCACATATTTGAATTGCTATAATTTTGTGTGTGTTTTTTAAATTTTGAGATGCTGCACGATCTGCCCCAGGATCCAAAATCATTCCCTCCTTCGTCACAGCCATAATCTGATTTGGCTACACCAGGTGCTGGACAGGTCTGGGTCTGCTCAGATCGCGGAGGAGGCTCATCTGTCACCATCACTTTGGCAACTATCAACCCAGGGACCTTGCAAAGTCCTACTTGTCGGGGACAGCCTTCAGTCTTGTGCCCTTTGAAGATTTTTCAAAAATCGCCTGCAGTTATTGGAAAAACGATGGTAACCCCACGCAGAGCTTCTCTGTCAGTCAGAGGTCATGCTTCAAGGACTAGATGGCCACTGAGACTCAGGCTGGGGTCTCTCTCCTGCTCTTTACACACCATCCTGAGGTCAATGTCCAGGTTCCTGTTTGATAAGACTAACTTCTCCTGTTTATTCGCTTTCCCTTTACCACCTTCTCGCATATAAAATAATGGATTGACGTATATCAAGAAAGCTGGAGATACCCACTGCAGGCAGTAACCACCCATGACCACACCATGACCACCGCCACCTCAGCCACACCCTGTCATCAGATTCAAATCAGGAATGCTACCCCTTAGTGTCTGTGGGATTCTCCCGCAGTCACTTAACCTTTCTGTGCCCGAGTTTTCTCATCTGCCAAAGAAGAATCACAGTGGTGCCCATCTCTTAAAGGTCTTTTGAGTAAATGAGATAATAATTATAAAGGATTTAGATTAGTGCCTGGCATTTACAGTAAGGATTCAATTAAGAGTTCACAATCACTGTCAAGTTGATTTGAACACGAATATACTTCCTGCGTCCGTTCACCAGTCCTTTTGGATGCCAAAGAAAGTAGAAAACATCTCAACTTTCTATTCTGCAGAGGACAAACCACACTGTTGAGGGGGTGATTAATCTGAATGTACTCTAGTTGTCTTCTTCCATCCTCAACCTGCAATGCTGGGGCGAGACTGGAATACTTCTTTAGGTTGGGTGGGTAAAAGTTCCTTCTGCTGCTGTACATACACAGAGCTCTCAAAAAGTACATAAATAATAAAAACCCAAGACTTCTTTGATATGGCTTTCCTGATCTAATAGTCCCGTTTTAAAGAAGAAAAAATTGGCCCTGACGGCACAAGTCCACATAAACACGCGGTGGCAGAACCAAGGCCAGAGAACGCAGTTGTTCTCATCCTAAGCAAATCACCAGGTACTCAGCTAAATCCCCTGTAAACGTCGCCTAATTTAATCCTCATCCTAACCCTCGAAAGTAGGTAGTATTTTCACCCTCTTGGAGATGCAGAAACTAGGACTCAACCTCTGTGAATTAGCTTCTTCAAAACCAGACAAGTGACAACTGAGAGAGCCGAGACGAAAAATACGTCTTGCCTGGCCCCAGAGAAGACGCACCTGCTTCAAGTCTTCTGCATCTCAGTGCAGAGGACTCTAGTCCAGAGCTCTCAGCCTGTGACTTCTCACTGCCCATGTGGAGGCCCTGTCTGGGGAGCTGGGAAAAATACAGGTTACTGGGCTCCAGTTCAGGAAGGAGAATCAGACTCTCTATGGGCAGGGCTTCAAAATCTGCATTTATTCAGAGTTTGTGATTCGGATGTGTAGGAAGAGTCAAGAAACCCTATCTACACAAGACATTCTGAGTGCTTCCAGCATAAAATGGGAGAGAATTGAGGGCCCTCAGGCTAATGGGAAGTTCAGAATAGCTGAATCTGCATGAAGAGTAGCAATTGGGGACTTTCCCCCAAATGCTTCTGTGTGCCACAGACACACAAAGTCCCGCCCATATCGCTAAAGCCCTGCTCTCATTGACCTTGCCTAAAGACATCAGCATCACAATGAAAACAATAAACAGGGCCCTCTTCATGGTGCCAGGCTCTGTTCTGTCGGAAATACAGCAATAAGGTTTCTTTCCAGCCTCATCCTTCTCCTTGCAAGCGCCTCAGTCTGCACTAGGCTTTCTTAGGGCTGAGCAAAAAAACAAACAAACAAAAAACGAAGGGCCAGACTGTTCGAATGGACACTTACCAAGGTGCACCGTATATCCTGAATCCCTTCACTGTTACCTCCGAGTCTTGTAAGTAAATACTGTTGGTCAGGAGGGACTGGACGTTGTCAAAGTCCTCTGGTTTCAATTTGGACACAGAGGGGAAACGGTAGTAGTCCTGTTTGACAAGGTCTGCCATGAATTCCTTATCAAATGTCAGTTCATGATTCCCAGCGATCACAATTTTATATTCATAGGGCAGGTTTCCTGAAAGAAGAAAAAAAGAGCACCAATTAGCACGTTCATTTCCCATCACGGAGTACAACAGCCGAGACTGCGTGATTAGCAGACGGTATACCCAAATGAAATAGCTCATGCATTCCTTTATATTTCCATGGGAACCAAAATTTATGACTGCTCCTTTATGCTAACAAAAATGACAATAAACGGGAAATGGGAAGCTGCTAAGAAGCTAAAAAGCTACTAGGAAGACATTAAGTTTTCTGGTTCCATTTTCCTCTTTGGCATGCCTTGGTTTAAGTCCTCAAAAATAAGCAGACCACATCGTAAGGTATTTAAATACAGACTCACTGTGTTGTACGCCTGAAAATAATATATTGTATGTCAACCATACTTTAATAAAATAAATAAGCCAGCCGACTATTTTTAACAACACAGATAACTGCTAGATTGAACATATCCTTCATATAAAAAAACGTGGCACAGCCAAGCAGGCCACAATTTACATAAATGAAAGTAACTACATAATACAATTTCATATTGTAAGTTAAAGTTTACCTTTTGGCTCAGGAATAAAAAGAACATTAATAATGCCTTCCTCTGCCCCCCCATTGGAAGGCTAACTTTCAATCCATTGGGGATGGGAGAAGAAACTGTAAAGCTTAACCCCCTTTTAATATTTATGGTATGGAAATGTGAGTTCTGAGTGTGTGCTTTTTATGCAAAAGTTTCCCGATCGAAATGAGATAATTCTGGGAAGAAGAATGAAAGCTATAAAGGAAAACCCAAACACCAGACTTCTGCATAGATTTATAATGTTTGAATAAAGTACAGATCATACATATTAATAACTCACCGTGATGCTATAAGAACCAAAATCCAAAGGGAGATAGTGCCGGGCAGCTGTCCCCATCCTGAAATTAATGCCCTTTCTATTCGCTTTCATTACCCATCCCTCAAACCTCACCGCTGGGCCGTTGCTCATTTCATTTCATTTTATTTCATTTTATTTTGAAAGAAAAAAGGGCGGGACAATGGTGCCTATAATTCCAGTTTCTTAAAACTCCTGGGTCCAGTGCAAAATGAATGTTTCCTGCTATTCCAGAAAGAATGATAGTTACTACTAGCAGGGCACTGGATACACTTGTTGTAAAGAATTGGTCCTTACCAGCAAGCCAGAGTCAATGATTTAATTAATGAAGCTAGCAGGGAAGATTATTGTATCTTTTTTTTGGAGGGGGAGCAAATTCTGTCATGGGTCCACCTGGATGTCAGCAATGCAAACTGTAGAGATTACACTGTGAAGTCCACAATCCCAGAGCACACTGCAAATGTATCTGCTAACAGTGAAGTGATTTTTTAAGATAGCCAGAATATGCTTTGTAACACCACTGGTTTTTCTTTAGCTCTCACTTTTCAGGTTTCTAACAGTAATAAAATTGCTCAAATAGCATGTGGATTAATGGGGAGGCTAAAGAGAGAGATGAAAGGAGTCAGAAAAGAACACGGCAGAAAGATGAAACTAACTGAAAACACTGTGGCCAAGTGTCAGTGGGTATCCTTGGCGACTAGCCCTCGATGCTGTGACATGCCTTTGGCCTCAGTTATCTGCAAGGTGGACAGCTCGTGGAAAAAAAGAAGCCTCTCTTAAATGCATGTTTATGCGAGTTTATAATCTGCACTAGCATAAAGCAACGAGGAGTGCAATGCATACTGCAAGCTACTTAGATAGAATGATGGTATTTTACACAATCCCTTGCACTCAAAATACAGATGAAAGCTGTATTAACGGGCTGCAAACTCCCGGCACTGCACACACTGGAAATATGGGAGAGGTCCCACAACTCTAATATCATGGCTCTGTGACCCCCGTAGCCGAATACCACACCCCCAGATTCACCTGTGTTCCCAAGGCTGGAAGGTTTTCCCGGACAGTAATCTGTTCCAGGGCAGGTCCTACCAGTGTGACTCTTTGAGCAACTGTATTTGTGCAAGTCACGCTGCTGCTGCCCGGTTCCCCTTTAATCATTCATGATGATGGACTCGCTGGAAACCCTTTCTTTATGCACCACTGCTCTTGCAAGAGGGCTTGGCTGGCTTCTCGCTTTTTCCATTTTAGAGCTTTGGTTCAGAGACGGCAAGGGTGCGATTGGGAGGCAAGGCAAAAGAAAGTGCATGTTTCCCCTTCAGACCAGTTTAAAAAAAAAAATAAAACTGTTGCAAAGCAAATCTTCCCCAGGAAGCTAAGACTCCTCAGAGTCTTTTAAATCAAATTGGGACACTCGACATCAAGAAATCGCCACCAAAATGAACAGCCACAGAAACAGTGATGAAATTTACACATTGGCAACAAACTCATCTCTCTGAGAATCCAATAGCAGTTTCCAACTTCCATTCTCTGTCACCTATGTTATGAGATTGTCTGACTTTTTTTTTTTTTTTTTTTGCTGAGCTGACCTTTCATCTATAATCTGACAACCTTTATGTTTTATATGAAAAGTGTAAGCAGGGCAGCTGACAAACCTCCTGTTACTTGACAGCATTTTACTTTTTTTTTCCAGACTAATTTGGAAGGTTCTGCAGTCAAGCTCCAAACTTCTTGGTATTCAAATAGCATCAAATAAAAAGGTACCTGCTTTTATCCATTTTATTCAGACCAACTCATAGAAGCTGACCTGCCTGAATAAAAAAAAAAAAAAAAATCAAGGTCACGTACTGTTATTCTGACAGGGAAATGTTCTTGCTCTGAATGACCTAAAGAACTCTACCAACTAACCAGTTCCATCTTTCCCAATACATGATATACATCCTACCTGTGACAGACAAAATAATTTTGGATGGAAAGGAGATGAACTTTTGGCAAAATGTCAAATAGTTTTTTGTATATTTTAAAAATATGTATTTTTAAAAAACACAATATAACAGTGAAAATAACATATTGGTTCATTTTTCATTGTTCTATTTTTATACAGGGTGGGACAAAAGTAGGTTTATAATAATTAATAAATAATAGTACAAAAATAAACTGTTTCGCATACTTGTAACTGTAAATCTACTTTTGCCCCACCCTGTATATAAAATATGAGATGATTTAAAGAAAACTACTGAACAGATAATTCACAAACATGGCAAGTAACAGTACGGACAGTTCACAGATATGATCATGGTAGCGCGTGATGAATAAAATGTGGGAAACGGATCCAACAGGTCAGGGTGGAGCCATAGACCATAGTGAGACCATAAACTTTTAGAAGCAGCAGTCAGTCCTATTCTAATCTGCATCTTGTACTGTATCTGTATCGCCTAGTGGCTTCACATAAATAGATGCTCACTTAAAAACTAACGGATAGTAAAGTCAGCTGGGCCCTCACTGCTGCTCTACAGCTCTAACTGTCCCACCTCCTGCTGCTGCCTGTTCCCTAAGCAGCTGCCACAGACCTTCCAGCTTCCTCTCCAGCTGCCAGGCTCCGCTGGACTCCCCACTTGGCACACAATGTGTCCTCTGACCTCAAGGTGGGCTCTCTTCACGCCCGGATCTTAACTTTCCTATTACTCCTTTGCATCTTCTCGCCTTTCTAAGGATTGGCCTCTTAATCCCATTCCTCCCACTCCCCCCAGCACTTTCCTTTTCCAGGCAGCTCTCTTTGGTTATTTTGGATCTTTCTCACTCTCTCTATTTAATCCTCTTCCTTAGGAAAACAAAAAACAAGCAGCCCTTCACACAGGCTCACGCACGGGCGCACACACGTGCTTGCGCCTCACATCGTCCTAAACAAGCCCTAATTTTGCGCCTTCTTGGAGATGATGCTTCCTCATTTCACTGCTGTACTTCTGGAAAGAGAATTCCAGAAGCTAGCAACTGGGAGGCCAAATTCAGCCCACAGATGTATTGCAGTTGGCCCTCCACTGTGTTTTATTTTATATTTTTACAAACCGAACTAATATTTAGAAATCAGGAGTTCTGGGTTTCTAGCTTATTCTGGAAAATGAAAAGATCAGGCAATGCTGACCATTAGCCTGCCACGGACCCCCCCACTTTCTATTACTTCTCACATCTGGCCCATTTATCATGTTTGCATTGCCGATGGGCCTCTCTAGTATTAAAATTAGCAACTTAGAGACAAATGGTTACTCAGAATTCACCCAAGGAAATCTGGCTCCTGTTTCTATTCTCTTCCAAAAGTTTGCCCTGGAATGTTGATAATAACCTAGTAGCCAAAGCCAGGACTTTTTTCTCCATTCTCATCTCCACTGGTCACATTGCAGTGGTGTCCCTGTCTCTTAAACTTAAAGCATCACTTACCTTCATTACTGACATGGCTCTCTCCTTTGCTCCTCCCTCTCTGATGTTCCCCTTCCTCCCTCTTCTTCCTCAGCTCCCTTTACACCTTAGCTGACTCATTACACTCTCTTCATCTTGACTGTGATGGGTATTATTTAATACTTCCTGACTGTATGTCTTCCATTTCTATTCTTTGTGATTCTATTTTTAAACTACTACAATTTAAACCCTGGGGGGGGGGGGGGGGGCTGGGGTTACGAGTGGGGACTCCAGGCTTCACTGCATGTTAGCTGCATGACCTTGGACAGAGAGAGTTCTTATGTCCTCTTCAAGTGCGCCAGCAAAGATGGGTAAGAACTGCACCCCCCTCCTAGGTTGTTTTCAAGATAAAATGAGAAAAAGCTTCTCAAGCACATGCATGATGTGGAGGAAAAACAATCAGCACGTGATCATTCGTTTTCACTCCATTTTTTTAGTTTTCCTTTATGCACACGAAGGGTCTACCTTGCATACGACAGTGAGGTTTTTGCAGGTGTGAAGCGTGGCTTGCGGCTTTGCTTCACACGAGGCACCCAGTTCAGTACCATCCAAATTGCAGGTGCACAATGAGTATTTCATGGATAAGGGGAGGAATGGATGGACCTCTCCAAGATGCGCCAGGAGCTTCCTTAGCATTGTGGGAACTGAACCAGTCACCTTGGGCGATGACAGGATCTAAACCACTGTCATGTTGTCCTGTTCTCCA